CAATTAATAAGAGAAAGAAGAAATAATAAATATGAGCAATGAGGGCAGAGAGAAGTAAACTTGCTATTTTCTCAGAGCAATAACAATTATAACATACAAGATATTAAAATACATTTTAAAATATGCTTAACATTTTATAAATGATAGAAGAAGCCATTGAAACACAAATTTTAGTTCACACAAAGTCAATAATTTCTCTTCAGAAATCCATTAAAACCTGAAACTTTTTCATGCATTGCTTATTACTAAAGAAAACTTGGCTCACAATTTCAAATGCAAAGAAAACTATAAGCCATCTCATTCACATCGCCTGGATCGAAGGAAATAAGTAGTTGATTAGAAAAACTTTGATGAATGAACAGCCAGGAAAATGAAGTAGGACCCCATGCAAGAGGCATAGCAAAGCACTGGTAAGGCAAAATACATTACCAGGCTTATCAACATGCACAGTGCGTAGTTCAGTAAATTGAAATCAATTGTAACATGAGATAGCCTTTCATTTTATTCATCATGTATCCAGCAAGTGATCGCTTCAGCCTCTGCTTTATTAGCAAAATGTGCACTTGCCAAAGAGGGGCTGAAGGAGCAGTGGATTTATTCACTCGTCTCTCACAACTGGATTTTGGTTTTAAAATGCAGAGGGAAATGCTAACCATCGAGTAAGAAATTGTACGGAGGGTTTCAGCTCTCTCTCAATTTACGTTCTCACTTTTTGCTGTGGCCAGACTCCTGGAAGAAAGAGAAGCTTTATTTGTTTTGAGTGAGATAACAAATCTGCAGCTTACAGCAGAGAAAATGGTAACAGATTCGTCATGCAACCCTTTTCAATTCTAACATTTTGTTATCAAATGTAGTGTAATCCCAAAAGGGTAGCAATAAAGATTTTTTTAAAGATAGAAAGGCCCTTCTCTATTCCACTCTGTGCCTTAGGTAGAATGAAAGTAGTGGAAATGCAGGAAAAAACATTTCAAGATGTTTGCTCAAAGAGAGAAATGCTGCCTGAATTTCCCCTGCTTTAAGTATTAAGTGTTGTTTGGAAATGTATCTTTAAATCTAACTGTATTGGGAAAAGAAGAAAAAAATGTTTGTCAGGGAAACAAAAAAACCTTTAAAAATCAAGGTGAAATAATACTGAACAAATTCTTCAATCCCAAGACTATAATAAACATCTAAAGTCATATCAAACAAATGCATCTGAAATAATATGCTGTAAAATAAATGCATACTGAAACTACAGAATGCCAGATTTTTTGTATGTGTAAATAAGTTCTTTCACACCCTGGAAACTGCATCAAATCATACAGTATGTATTTAGGATACCTCTTTTTCAATCATTTTAGTCTTTTACATTTATAACTTTACACACCGTTTGACACAGTGTTTATGATATGATAAATTATTATTTTTCTTTCTAAAGCCTCCGAACATATTAAATAACAATACTGGAAAGACCATATATATATGTATAAAATATGCCCATAAATGTAAAATTCCCTAGTTTCAAGAACTTTTGCTTACTGAAAATTATGTTTTGCTCATTTTTAAAAAGCTTTGAGATTTTTTATTTCTAAAGAAACCCTGAAATACTTTGCTCCAGTCATTGTCAGTAATAAAAACATCTATTGGATTAGGTCTTCAGGTATTGCTATTGTAAAATACTAAATCACTGAGAAACCTGACAGAGAAGATGGAAGAGATAGTGTTATGTGCAGTGGAGTTATTATTCAGTTAGTTTAACAAAAAGAAGGAAAATGGTAAACTGCAAAATACCTATGTTTTACAGAAAAACATCTTTATCAAAACAACTCACATACACTGGAGTGCGGCAGGTGGAGCAATCATTCCTGTAGTTTCCCATTGCATCTGTACCACCTATTGAGCCACAAGCACCCTGAGGTTATTAAAAGGACCTGTTCTGCTGTAAGGCTTTGATTATTTCTGCTTGCCACTGGAAAAATCTGACAGAAAATTTCAGAAGGCTAGAATACTGAGGGAGACAGGCCATGCTTTCTGACAGAAGTTAAAGAGCAAGGACTCTTAAAGTGAAGGTTGTGGTGAAGGAAAGGATTACAATTCCTGAGGAAATATATCTCAATTTCAGATACTCAGTCACCCAACGGGAATTGCAAGCTAACTACCAACATTTTGAGCTTTTATGTCTGCCTGCATTTATTAATTTTCAAAGTGTTACCCCAGGATCCCTGACAGGAAAAATGCAAAAGGACATTTCACATTTTAGGTGTACTTCTAAGCATTTCTGAAATGCTTTCAGTGTTTCATCCAGTCTGAGAGGCAAAGAAGCTTCTGCCATGAAAATAAAATAAAAAAGTACCACAGAAAAAAAAATCTTTCAGTTCAAAGCCTAACATGAAGCAAGCTCAGCAGGATCCATGTGTTAATCAGAAAGTCAAAAGACTTCTCTCATGGAGACCATAAAAACAGAACAGTATTATTTTTTTTAAGTTATTGAACCTAAGGACAATTCTTTGAACTGATAATGAAGCCATCATCTCTGAAAGACCAAAACTTAAATGTGAAACCCTATTTACTCCCTGTATGTGTCACGCCCGACAGCCCTCCCTAGAGCCTCCCTAGTGTTATTATATATTTTGGTATATATATATATTTATATATTTCCACTGCTCCCATTATTGTTCGTGTGATTAAGCTCTCCAGGTGTACCCTTTTAGTGTTATTATTTAAAGACCAGCTCCTCCAGTCCTCGGGGCTCATCATTAGGGAAAGATGTCGCGAGGCCCGCCTAGCACCAGGAAACCCTACATCCGTCTCCTGAGGGCATAGGCCTAATCCCCGACACCTCCCGCTTCCTGAGCCCGGGGTCTGGAGGATCTCGCCCCGTCACCCTTGGACCTCCATGTCTTGTCTGTCCGTGTGCTCCCCCCTCCCGGGGATTTTAACTTTGTCGCGTCCCAGGATGGACTCTTGGACTGTGCTTTGACCTGCCCTTGGACCCGTTTGGATTTGGATGCCATTTTGTCTCCCCCGCTCACTGTCTCATGGATTGTCACTATTATTTTGTTCACTATTAAACCCCTGTGTGTTCCCTTTTACGACGCCTCCTGTTTTCTCCAGCTCTTACCGCATCGCATAGGGTCTTCTATAAGATCTGACACGGATTTCAGTCCGTGTTCGTGACAGTAGGGAGAAAAATAAACTTTTAAATATTCCCTTCGAGCTCCCTATTTTCCTCTCACAACTTTACAATCAAGAAAAAGTTCTAAAGCTCTGTTCATTTTGGCACTGGACATCAATTATCTTAAATGTGAAGCTACAGTACATAGGGTTGGAACACTTGGTTTCACAGCATTCAGGGAAATGCATTTCCTTTCTGACATTGATATGATACAGATAACAATCATCTGTGGCTTCCTACCCCATACTGAAGTCAAAAAAGAAATTTGAAGTATTCCTTGGGTGATTACACAAGGAATAAAGTAGTTTTAATAATAATAATAATAATAATAATAATGATATAGCGTGACTCGCAAACTCTAAAAAAGACTCGTCCAAAAGATATCTTTAAACTCAGGTTTTCAGTGAATTAAAGGTAAATGAGAGAAGCATAGAAATCATGGATATTGGTCACATTCACATGCCATAAGACTGCAAGTGATATTTTAAATCAGACATTGCTTCTTTGTATGTATTTTAGTGCCCTTCTTAACAGTTAATTTAATTATTTAGCCTACCTACATCATTGTCACATTTACCACCTGATGGATTCATATGGTCTTGTACAGATGTGTTGGCCTACTGTAACAGTAATGTCAGACACAAGCCAAGGCATTAAATTAAGAAGTTGGTTTTATTTTTTCCCTTCTGATTCAAGGTGAGCAAATAGTATGTCACCCCTGAGCTATACTATACTAGAGTACCGACTGAAGGGGATTAAAGTCTGCCTTATTTGCTAAAATGTCCCCACTTTCCACACATCCCCAAACAATAATGACATTATTGTTTATTGTACTCTTCATTATTGTACTCTTTCACACTAAAAAAACATAGATACATTTTTGGAATTTTCCTAATAACATTATTGGTAAAGATGTATCATTATATGGCAATAACATGCCAGTGTGTATAAATACACACTAGTGCATTTCAGTTTAGTTCAGTTCACCTAGATTATTTCACTAGGGTGACTAATTCCCCTCCAAACCAGAAGATGGCACTATACAAGCTGTGCAAGTGTCACGGGAGCCGGTCCTGACTCTCGTGTAGTGCTTATTTAGGACCCTATGCAGATGGTATAATCCGGAAGAGACTGGAGAAGGACAATAGGGACAAATGCGGAGAGGAATGGATGGGAGGACAGACAGGGGGCGATGCCGACGGTGATCCAGGTGCGAGGGGGAGGGCAGGTGAACAAGTTCAGTGGGAGTCCAAAAGGGAAAAACAGGGCGGTCCAGGAAGCCGGGAGATCAATCCAAGATCAACCCAAGACAAACAGTTAAAAACAGGAACCGGGTGGGAACCGGGACAGGAACAGGGAAGTTAGGAACACGATGACGAAGCCAGGCGCTCCAAGTCCCGGAACCAGATGGTCAGGACACCGGGGAATAAGGGCTGCCCTCGGGCTACCCGCGGGCCCAGGGAATGGGCAAGCCTTGTGGCGTCCATCACCCAATACTGAGCACAGAGCTTAGGAGGCACAGAACTTACAGTACTGTATTTAGTGACAGGAGACAGGTGCACGTAATAATGAAACTAATAATAAAAGGTCAGAGCGCCCTCTAGAGGAGGGATGATGACCGTGACAGGAAGTTGGCATTTCTTCTTAGATTTGGTCCTGACCTCAAGTATGGTTTTGGCCTCTAGGTGTAGCTTTGTGAAATTGAGTTGTACAGTAATTGTAGCAAGCAAGAAGAAAAAATCCAAACATTTACAATCTTAAACTTTAATTCAGTTTTTTTTTTTCCAATCAATTCAATACTTTGTTGCCGTGTCAACAAAGTTGATTGGAATTTGTCTCAGGGCATCCCAGATAGAAAACTAACAGAAACAACATTTTAACACTCCACATACACAGTACACTTTTAAACATTCAGTCAATTTTATTCACAAAAGGATTTTATTCACTCCCATGAAATTCTTTCAACAATCAAGATCTATGTGCCTAATGGCCTCTAGACAGCTGCTATTACAGAACCGAGCAGTGCTACATTTGATGTTTTGAAACCTTCTCGTCAAACGGAGATGTTTATAAAAGGAGCTGGCAGGATGGAAGGGTCTGTGGACACCTTCTTAGCTTTCCGTTTGATGCTGCTGTCACAAACAGAGGCAACAGAGGGACGTTCGAATCCGATGATCTTGGATGCTGTTCGTATGACTCTTTCCAGCTGTTTCATCATTTGAGCAGTTGTATTGCCACACTGTTAGGAGTGGAAAGCCTGCTGTTAGTTTCCTTCCCCTGCTGGAGACTGATGTTGCCATAAATCCTGTGGGACATAGATCTACTGGTAACAGGTAATAGGGTTTTATTTCTGTTGTTAAATCAAACTCTTTTTATGCATTGTCCCACAGTGCAATGTAACAGGCAGGCACTGTGAGGGTCCCCATCATGTTCTTCCACCCATTCTGTACCGTAGCTGTCAGAGGAGAAACATTATTAAGTGGGACTTGACAATGATATGCATACAGTAGCTGCCCATTTTACCTCACTGGTACTTTGACTGACTCAGAAAGTGTTAAGCAACACGCTGCATGAGGACGAGTATGAACATATTGAAAAGAATGATTTGTTGTTGCTGTCGTCAAAGGTGCAACGTAGGACTGACACTGTTGTGAACGGTGCTGCACCGGTGCTGTTGGAAACCCGCTGTCCATGTTAATTTTCAAACTGCAGTCATGCTGCCTGGTGACAAGAGTCATTTCATGTTATTTGTAAGGATGTCTGAATTGACTGGAGTCAGATTTGGGGGTCTTCCATGATGACCAGTTGTGTTAACAGTAATCACTTATACTGGGAAGTAGTTTCTCATATACTCAGGCTTTGGGGACTTATATGGTTGACTAACCCTGGGTGGTCTTCAGCTCATCTAGCTGTTTCTTGAAAGAATCCAGTTTAACGCAGCTTCATCCTGTCAATAGTGTCATCCTGTCAAATCAGTCCAGAAATGAGCAAGCAGACTCAGTTTGGGGTTTAAAGGAATGTCCTTCACTGATAGGCTGAAGGAACTGAAGCCCTTTTTGTCTTGGATAGAGAAGACTGTAATGTAATGAATGTAATCAAGGAGTTGGCTGTCAAAATCCTCAAAGTCAACCCAGCTGACTTCTTCAGAACCAACAAACTAGAGAACACAATTGGAAACTCTGTAGAAGTGCATTTAAACAGAGAACAGGAGGCACTTCTTTACACAGAGGGTTGCAGCAGAATGGAACAAGCTCCAGGTGCGTTGTTGAAAGCAGTGCACTGAAAAAGAAACAAGAAAAAGCTAGATGAGATCCTTAGATTAATTAGCTACAAACTACTAAATGGGATAGATGAGCCAAATGATCTCCTCTCATTTGTAGCTTTTATTAAGTTCTTACAAGAATGTAGAAACTCTAACTACATTTTCAGGATAGAAGAAGAAATGTAAAATGAGCATGTGAGTCCAGCTTTGTCTACAAGTACAGTATATTGTAATCTCTTATGACCATACCTGTAAAAAGTAATCAATTGGTGTTGCATGATTGATAATCAATGGGTCAAATACTGTATATACTGTATACTGTATATCGCATTTTGGTACAATATTGTCAGTTAACAATTGTATTTTCTTTATGTAGAAAACAATTGCAGGGCTTCTGAGCGGCTCACAGAGTAAAGGTGCTTTCTCACAGTGCAGTCTCACCTGGCCATGTCATAAGCTGACTGTGGATAAAAATGAACAAACTACAGCAATGCTGGGGGGATCCACCAGCCAAGGATGAGTTGAGTATCTGCGACCTCACAGCCTTGCCAGTGAAAGTCACCTGCTTCCTTCAAGCAGTGGGAACCTTCCTGTAGGAGACAGAGGCATTTGCAATGTGCCAAATAGTGAGTACCTCTGCTGGGGGACATATTGGAGTAGTGTGCGTGCAAGTCTTCACTCTTCCCAGACATTTCAGGGTTTCTAGATATACTGGAACTGAAGACGTCAAGTTAGACTGCATAAGGTAGTATAAGTTAGACTGCATTTCATACAGTAAGGACAATCCCACTTCTGAGTAGAAAAAAAATGAAAATATCCCAATCTAGCAACTTGTTAGATCATGTCAGGCTTTAATTACTGTAGGTGATTAAGCTCAGCTGGAATGAACACCTGCAGGTGTGTGGTCCTCCAGATCCAGGCTTATTGGACACTGGACACTGTCAGCAAAGTTTCAGACAGATTCTATGTCTGAAAGGACAAGGCCATTATTATCCAACATAAGCCAGGGAAGTACCATTTCTGGAGTTGCCGATTTGAAAAGTCATAACCAATATTATATTAAATATTGCATTGATGCATAAAAGTTAACACATTTTAAACTGTTTTAACATGAAGCATATTTTGAGTTGGGATATTGTGTTCATAGCACAAAATAATAACATTGATCCTGTAATAATCGTTTTAATTTCACAATTTGTCAGACCAGTAGTAGCCAGCTGTTTCATTTCTTCCTATTATTTTTCATGCACCCTTAGCCAGGAAAATAATCTGTTAACCGTCTCCTAATTTACACATGAACTAATGAACCTTATTCTGTTATTTATTTGACATCATATTTCTTTGACAAACATGACTCAAATGATCCCAAAATGCATTTATGTTTCTGGAAAGAAAGTCTAAAGCGATTTAACTTCAGGTGAAAATCGCTAAATTCATTATTAAAAATATTTAAAGTCGTGCTGGCAAGAAAAAAGAAAAAAGAAAAGTTTGACTATTTTTTTCCAGATGATGCATCAATGCTTATCATTGATGTTGTGGAAAAATGCAGATTTTTTTTAAAGTAAGAGAAAAAAGATTTTATTCAGCTAGCGAATAGCATGGGCATGTTCTCAGAGATAACCAAGAGCCATGTCAGCTAGTTTGAGCAGGATAATGAGGCTCTGTCCATGACAATTTCACTGTCCTGTAGAGAGAGAATCTGTCTAGCAAGGCTTTTTTTGCCAGAAAATTTGGCAGTCCAAGTTATCCACCTGCAAAAAACATATTTACTTTTTATAATTAAATCATTTTTCCAGACCATTGTCAGCATTTAAATTAATATAAACAGATATTCAGTACCACTTATATTTTTAGTAGTTTGCAGACACAAGAAAGTTTTCTTATACAGTACATCTAACAGTATATTATACAATGTACAGAATGATTTGTTTAATTTTGACCAATTTATACAATAACTCTTGATGTGGGCTGCAATTCTCAATAAGAATTCGACTCATTAACATTTTCTTTCCATAGAGATGAGATCAATACCTTCATGTGCAAAATTATTTGATTCAGTTTATTTTGCAATTCAAATTAATCTATATAAAAAATATGTTCACTTTTCAGTGAATTGTCATTATCTATATAATACTTCCCTCTAAGGTGTAATTTTTGGCAACCATATGCAATAAAATATTAATTATAACAAATAAGTCAGAAAAAAGATCACAGAACACAACTCTGAAAAAAAATAATCAATATTTTAATTTTAGCCCATTTCCTTCTAGGTCAACAAGAGAAAAAAATCTGGCTTTCAAGTTATTCCGTAATTGCTCAGAATTCAATTCTACAAACACAAGTAGCTGAATCCTCCAGAAAAATTACATTTCTTTTTTTATCTGTAAATGATTTGCTATGTATGAGAAATATTGATTTCCTTACACACAATGGTTCAGCACCTTTGTTTTCCCTTTCTAATAAATTAAACATAAAGCAGAGTTAAAGCAATCTGGAGAAGCGAGTGATTCCTTTTAACTGATGCTGTTGAGTGCTAACACTGCAGTTGTCTTCCTTGTGCATCAGAATGGCACTCTTACGTGTAAGTTCATGAGTCACACATCTCAGGGAGTACTCCATTTATTATTTATTGCAGATGATGAAGCCGGTGATCTCCAGAAGAAATTTCTGCAGAGATCGGCAGGTGAAGCTGTGTTAGCTATGACACAGTCTCATGCACTTACTTGTTAGTATCACATCCTCAGCCATCATAGGGGATATGTTGACTTGAGACTTCCCCTATCAACTGGGAGATTGGGATAACAAGAGGAGAGATATAGTCTCTGACATTTTAACATCTTGCTGGGAATTTAGCAGGAGGACAAGACAATCTATCTTGGGGTACTGACACCAAATTTTCAAATGGTAGCAGAAAACACTCTGTACAGTAGTGTGCAGCCCCATTCAAAATTATTTTTTACCGTGATTATACTAAGATGACAGTGTGATCCAATAGTTACTGTTAAGGATGCAGTTCCATAGGAAATTCATAATTTAAATGTTGAGTTCATCTTTCTTTTCCTTTTAGCTGTTACTGTAAGTACACCGTTTCAGTTTCCACCCGTACTCTGAAACTATTGTAAAATATTAACTAACAACTCACTGATAATCACACCAAATTGTTAATTTATTATAAACATATCACTGTTTACTTTTTTTGATACTTTGTGATACTAGATTTACTGGTTGCATAAGAGTTAATCTGTAAAAAAATCAGAAACACTTTAGAATGTCTTTATTATTCTGAGGTAGTTCACGTTCAAAAGCTTAATAAATTGATCGTAAAGTTCCTTAATGAACTGATAATGAACATTAATGAAATGGCAATGAATATTCATTGTATTTTCCAGACATAATTCAAATTGACCTAGTTTGAATGTTGTGGAATTACAGAAAGCCAACATAGAAATCTTCAGTACAGATGGATGAACATACCAACAGATAGATAATTACATACACACCAGGCCAATGTTGTTGAAAAACAACTAGCCTAGAATATTGATACATAAAATATTGATTCACATGTTCATTTATTAATCCTCTGAAAACGTAATGTAAAAAAGGAGACTTTGCTGTCATTTCATCTTATTAAAATAGAAAACAATGTCACCCACACTGTCACAGAATTTTAGTATTCTATTGTTTTAGTTGCAGTCCAAATTGCATTCAGATATTTACTGTATTTGATTTGTATTTTATTTTCATATATTTTATTATTTCATATATTGTTTTTATGAAATCAAATTACAAATTTATTATTTTATTTTTCTTAATAATTTTAAGATAATTTTAGATGCACATCCAGTACGATTGGGAGTTTAGTCAAAATTTCTGGTTTTGTCCAGCATTTTGACTATAAAGGTCAGAGACTGGTCTTTTGTGGGTTGGGTGCCAACAGATCTTAATTTACCCAGTATGACTTTTGTTCTTGTGGTAGAACTACTGTACATACACTACTGTATGTGTATGTACTGCACATGTGGGATGGAGTATAGATGTGTTCTCTTTCTTCTTTTTTTCATCATGGAATAAACCTATTACTTGTATTTTTTTCTCTGCAGCCATGAACAGTTTGCTCTTTTCTTGACAAGTGTTAAGATGTACATGTAAGTGTAAAAATATTATGTGTGTTTTAGCTTTGCATTTAGAGGAAACTGTCATGTTTTGTTTCAATGATGTACCTACAACATTTTGCTTTTATGCACAATGCTGTAACGGTTATACTGTATACTCTATTCTGTATATATTCCTTGTAGGTTTTGCAAATAGATGTGGAAATCGATCTAACAGGTGAACCCAGTCTCACACATTAAAGGCAACTGAACTCACCGCATTTTCTGAGTGCAGATCCTCAAAAAAAGATGTGACTGTGTGAAAACTTCATAGGTCAGCACAGCTTAATCTTGTGTCACTGCATTGCAACTTGTGAGCATTAAGAAAGTAAGGAAAGTGGCACACTGGGGACCAAAATGTCATGTAGAATATACAGTACTGTACAGTAAATGTAATACAACAGCACAAATTCTTCAAATCATTGGGTTTTGATATTGAACTACTGTACCTTTTAATGCAGCTATGTATCTGATGTTTTTCACACCAGGGAATTATATATTTTGGTTTCAGTCGCATCTGAAATGTTACTGTTCAGAAAACACCTCTGAATGGGATCAGTACAGAGCAAAAGGAAATTGTTCTGTAGGATTTATTTTTTTTAAAATGTCTGCTGCTCTCACTCATTTTAATAGGTTTAGTCAATTTTAACAGAAGGATTTAAAATTCCTTATATGCCTTAATTTGCACATGTATTGTAACTGTGTTTATGTATCCAAACTTCATTTATGGAGCTGACTGTAGATGAACGTCTCACATGATCTCTTAAAATGTGTACTATTGAAAGAGAATTCAGCAGGACCTTTCTAAAATTTAAGTAGCATATTTCTACTTTTGATCTCATGAAAAGGATTTTTTTCTAAGTAAGGTGATGACAAAAGTCCTCTTTGTAGGTCAGAAAAAAAGCTTTATCTAATCATGTAAAAAGCTACCAAACATAATTTAAGGTAAAATTAATCCACTTTCTATTCTGTGTTAAATTGTGTTACAACGCATAAACTCAGCTATTAAGAACCTATATTATATGGGCAAATGTTAAGATTTAAGAGTTAATCCTTAAAGAAATGCATATTATACATATTTTATTTTTAGTAAATATTTGTAAACCCAGTAACCCATCTTTATAGTTATAGGTGTAAGTATGGATTAGTTAATTTGCTAAAACATCTGAATTACAGATGTCGGCACCTGAACAAGTAGGTTGACTGCATGTTTAATAAACCTGCAGGATCGTATATACTCATTACACTTAATATATTAATGAATACCCTTGGTTCAGAAGCAGAGCACATTATGTGCATAACAGTACATATACATTCCCTAGAAATCTCATCATGGAATATTGGCAATGGAATTACTTGCAATGTGCTTAGCATGCAGACTGTTAGAAAGCATTTGTTTTCAATATGGATAGTACTAATAAGCAGTACTTTAATAAGAG